CACAAAAGTTTATCTGATTAGGTTTGGTCGCGAATGAATCCTCTATGTCGACAAGATGGACGAAAGAATCTTCGGGTAGGCAAAATACATTTTCCACTTCTAACATTTTTACCATTACTCCGTATAGTTATCGTCTGGGAAGAAAAAATATTCTTAGTTCCTCTGACGAGTAATTATAATATCGAGTAGCACGAGGCTTCGTGAGCTCGCAACGACCCTCACCATAAATAACATAAAATAAGAATAAAATTCAGACCAAGAGGTAGGCGTAGGGAATCATTATGAAATATAATGTGAATGTCCCGTGCTGTCCATCATGATGACGACGAATCAAGAGGAAAGGCTTTCTAACCAGCGTCGCTGTTTCAAGAGCCTTCTGACTCAGATGTCTAACGCTCTTAAGAGTTACGAACAAGAACCGGAGCCAGAGAGACTGTCCAAACTTCTGGACAGACTGAAGGTATGATGATATAACACACTAGTCAACATGCATTGCGATTTGGCACCAGCTGACGAAGCCGAAGAAAAAGAAAGAATAGATATGGACCAACGATATTTTGATGCGGTAATAGCAACCGAAAAGTACATCAAGCAATCACAAATCGGTAAGGAAAATCTGCAAGCATCACCAATATCGTTCATAGGCGACACATTGGGAGCCAAACTGTCAAAAATCGAACTACCACGCTTCGACGGCAAAGTGGAAAGTCCTCATTCAAAGACCGATTCATGTCCACGATTAATAACAAAGTGATATAAGCTACACTGATCGCGATCCGCTCTGTTTGGTGACGCCGCGACCATCATAGAAGCAGTAGACACAATCGCAAGTAGCTACAAAGACGCATGGACGCTACTAACATCCTTCATCGAGGAGGTTATCACAGTACAAATCCTTACCACAACAGGATACACGCGACCGACGTAACTCAGGCGATGCATTGCTTCTTGCAAGAGGAAAAAATTAGGACGCACTTAACCAACTTGGAGATTATGGCATCGCTGATTGCCGAGGTGACGCACGATCTGATTCATTCAGGCGTCAATCAACTATTTCTAGTTGCCACGAGCAATCATTTGGCTGCTCTTTATCAAAACACGTCAGTTCTTGAGAATCATCACTGGATAGGATGCCTTCTAGGAGAGTGGAGTTTCCAATCAGTTACCAGCGAATGTGAGGCCAGAACTTCAACAGCACATCAGTTCGTTGATTTTAGCCACAGATATTACACAAGACAAGAACAAGAATTTCTCATTCGATTCAAGCACTACTTGGACGAAAACCTGTTGGAAATGAGGCGCGCAGATGATCGACATTTCATTCTACTAATAGCCCTGAAATGCGCCGATATATCGAACCCATGCAGATCTTGGGACATCTCGCAGAAGTGGTTGCACAAAGTATGCGAAGAATTCTTTCGTCAAGGCGATTACGAACGTCGTCTGAACATTCCGGTGATACCATTGTGCGATCGGCATACCATACCACTAGCATACCAAAGATACAGGCTGGATTCTTTAAATTCGTAAATGTGTCGCCTCTGTACGAAGAATGGCATCGTTTTTTGGGCGATGGTCTTAGTGTATCGTTAATGGAACACCTTCGAGCAAATCAG